CCCCGGCACCGAAAATTATCTGGAAATTACTTCCAATCTCCTAGGGCACTTCTCACACTTGCCTCCAGTTCCAGGCGGACAAAGCCCTTTCTCGACAAGGCCCGGGGCTGCCCTCTGGGAAGCGGGAAGGGTCCCCGCGAGCCCCTCCGCCCCAGCCTCCCTCGGGATCCGCTGGGAACCGCGGCAGCGATGGGCCGCCTGGGGCTGCGGGGCGCTTGGCCGCGGCAGGCGCCGGCACTTCTCAGAGCCCGGCTTGTCCTCCGATGGATCCCCGTATTTATATTTGATTTATTTTTTATTTTGTAGCACAAACAGAAATCCATAAACTGTCGGTTCAGCGCCATTGACTCTTTGATCAGTTACTGGGCTATTTCTTTCCTTCTCCCCCCCACCCCCATCCCCGTCAGTGAGAGGAGATTAAATGCCTTTATTTTCAGCCCTGTTTATGTTGCAAAGGTGCACGGCTAAATGAACAATGAGAGTACACTGAAAACGAAGCCGCCTCCTCTATGCAAACCAGAGAAACTCACGGCTGCCTGCACCCACCTCTTAATTAGACCACTGCGGTTCCGACAACATTTAGCCCTCCTGTACAAAGGAAATAGACGCACCCTGCCAACCAGCAGCCCCGTTTCGAGGCTTCTCTGAATCCCAGTGAAATAATCACCAAAGGGCACACAGCTGCCTCCGTCTTTCTGACAAAGACACTACTTTACCTGCAAGATCGGTTTTACCCTGAGAGAAAACCAAAGTGTTTTACGCTGCAGACGTTAAAATCCAACGCGCTTGTTGCCTAGGTCAGGACCAACTTTTTAAAGGGGAAGTAAAATCCGAAAAAACTAACTGCTGTGCCGAGAGTGGGAAGCTTGCGTCCTGGGCTGCAGGAAGCACCCAACTCCTGTCCTACTTGGCTCACCAACCCCTGAAGTTACCATCAAAAACGGAGGCGCTACTTTCTACTTCCATGTCCAAGCCTGAAGCCCACCTCGGACGTCTATTTTACATCCAGCTGTGCCTAGTGGATTTAATTTTCGCATGGAACTTGCCCCTCCCCCAACACCATTTTAAGGAAAGTGGGGGTGGGGGGAGATCTTTACAGCGACTAAACAACAGTACCACCCAGCACAAAACCAGCCAGACTGCACAGCGTGAAAAAGCAATGAAGCGCTTTTCTGCACTTAATCACATTACTGATAGCCAATAGTTATCATCGGAAAAGTTGACCAAGACAGGTTAAATAATTTAATAAGGAACTGCTTGTAATTATGTTATTTACAAGGTGTGACAGAGGGTGGGAGAGGGGAACAGAGGCAGCTCCCAGAGCAATGGACGGGTGTGGGTGACCCCTGGAGCTGGGAGTTTGAATTATGGAGAGGGGAGGCTGAGAGGTGAAGACGGGCTAGCGGAGAACAAGGTGACTTTTCACCCCAACACATTTCACTTTTAAATCCAAATCAACGTCTCGCGTTACTAGACCATCACACCGGAAAGGGGGGAAAAATGAACTAATCAAGCCCAACTCAATGGGCTTTGGAAAGGAGTTAGTTGCCTTTGTTATAGAAAAAAAAAAAAAAATCAATGAAATGATTCCAAGCAGAGAGAGAGAAACATTTAAACATATACGAGAGGGGGAGCCTCCTGAAATTTCTCTGTCAAATATTAATTACCACAGCTAATTAAGACAGACTTGGATTCCACGCAAAAGCCATCTAATAGAGCATATATGTCCTATTGTGATGACAACAGTAACTACTTTACCAATCGCATCGTTTATTCCAATAAATATGGAATTCTCATTAGCATGTCAAGGAAGCCAAGTGGAAAACAAGTCCAGAGACCCATCTGCCCTCCTCTCAACCCCAGGACAACCCAGCTGAACAGTGGGAAGTAGTGCGGAGGCTTAAACTTTCTCACCTGTTTGGTCATTGAATCTATGAGGCGCACATACAGGTCCTGCTCCGTTCTGACTCCTGCAAAAAAAAACAGGGGTAAATTCTCATCAGGATTTTAGCATGGGCACCTGGGGCACGGGGCTGCTGCTGCCGGTGGTGATGCAGCAAAACTCAGCCATGCCCTTTAAGAGGCGAAAAGGAACCCCAATCGCTTCCCCTGCTCTGAGTTTCTTTTCCTCGTCAGGAACCTCTAAGACTCTCAGGGTTTGCACTGGAAGGTGCGACAAACTTGCCAGGCTGCGAGCAGGCCCGGTGGCTGCACCGGGTGGGCCCATGTGGTCATTTATTTTTAGAAAACAGAAAGCATGAAATGGAAACTGAGTGAGAGTTTGAACTCTTTCTAGTGTCTCTCGAGGATTTTTTTTTTTTTTCAAAAACTCGTGCACAGGAAGTCAGTTCCGCTCCGCTTATGGAGCTGCCCCCATCTCCATAATTAACATTAATTTGCAAAATTGAAAAAAGTCACTTAAAAGTGATGTCCTCCTGAAGCCCCATATCGATCCCCCTTTTTACTTTCTGCTTCGAGCCCCACCGGTTAATCATGTGAAGTGCCATCGACTTATTGATCGTTTATGTTTTGTTTTCCGCCTATGCCACGAGAATATTTCGTGTTTACATCCGTGTCATTTTAATCTCGCAATCTTTGAGTCCGTTAGCCGTCTCGGGAAAGGAGGGCGAGCCCGGGCGGGGCGGGCGGCGGCGGCGGCGGCCACTTACCGTTGCTGTACAGCAACTGCAGTTTATAGTGGATGCCGTTGTTGGTTTTCTCGTTGTTGGGCTCCTGAAAGTAACGATAAATAATTGCGTTTAGTGCGATCGGCGTCCGGCGCGGCCACCGCGCTCGGTCCCCCTGCGCCCCCGAGGCCCCGCGGCCTCACACATGGCAGGACT